GTGTCGGTGGGAGCAGGATTAGTGTCGGTGGGAGCGGGATTGGTGTCAGTGGGAGCGGGATTGGTGTCAGTGGGAGCGGGATTGGTGTCGGTGGGAGCTGGATTGGTGTCGGTGGGAGCGGGATTGGTGTCGGTGAGAGCGGGATTAGTGTCGGTGGGAGCGGGATTGGTGTCGGCGGGAGCGGGATTGGTGTCGGTGGGAGCAGGATTGGTGTCAGTGGGAGAGGGATTGGTGTCGGTGGGAGTGGGATTGGTGTCAGTGGGAGTAGGATTAGAGTCAGTGGGAGTGGGATTGGTGTCAGTGTGGGGATTGGTGTCAGTGGGAATGGGATTAGTGTCGGTGGGAATGGGATTAGTGTCGGTGGGAGTGGGATTAGAATCAGTGGGAGTGGGATTGGTGTCAGTGTGGGGATTGGTGTCAGTGGGAATGGGATTAGTGTCGGTGGGAGTGGGATTAGTGTCGGTGGGAGTGGGATTAGAATCAGTGGGAGTGGGATTGGTGTCAGTGTGGGGATTGGTGTCAGTGGGAATGGGATTAGTGTCGGTGGGAATGGGATTAGCGTCGGTGGGAATGGGATTAGTGTCGGTGGGAGCGGGATTGGTCTGGGTGGGAGAGGGATTGGTGTCAGTGGGAGAGGGATTGGTGTGGGTGGGAGCGGGATTGGTGTCATTGGGAGTGGGATTGGTGTCGGTGGGAGCGGGATTAGTGTCGGCGGGAGCGGGAGCGGGATTGGTGTCGGCAGGAGTGGGATTAGAGTCAGTGGGAGTGGGATTAGTGAGGGTGGGAGTGGGATTGGTGTCGGCGGGAGTGGGATTAGAGTCAGTGGGAGTGGGATTAGTGAGGGTGGGAGTGGGATTGGTGTCAGTGGGCGTGGGATTGGTGTCGGTGGGAGCGGGATTGGTGTCGGTGGGAGCGGGATTGGTGTCGGCGGGAGCGGGATTTGCTTAGTGAATTTGGACCTGATACTGTTTTGCTGTTGCACAACCTTTGAGACCATTTTGATTAATTGACATTCGCTGTGGGAATTCATTGGACTCACCTTACAATTGAATCTGCCCGACACGCAAGAGGAGGAGCAAGCCCAGCGATACACTGAGGCCAAATATCTCCAAGATCAACAGCAAGTCATCTGCCAACTGCAGCACATACAAACACATCTGCACAGAAGAATGTCCTCACTGCTCTGCGCTAACAGCATGTGTTTCTTCATATATATATATTTACACATATATAGAATATTTAAATGTGTGCGAGTGAGTGTGTGAGAGAATGTGTCTACTCTCATCCAGATAAACATGGAGAGAAAACATATATATACTACATACCATGCAGACATACGCTGGACATATTGTACATACTCATACACACACACACACTCACAGGCTCATACTCACTCAGAACAGATATGCCAACATGTATGGGATTGCACTGGTACATTTTATACGTCTTTTAAGCCATTGCTTTACACAGGTTGCCTTGGTAACTGGTGCCAAGTACTAAAAGATACAACTCTGTCATTGTTATTATGAATGGCCTGAATTCACACAATAATGGCAAAACACTTTCTTCATCTCTTCCTTCTTTTTCCACTGTAGTTTTTCTATGTCCCTCTGAAGAGTGGACCCAGGGGGAGTCTTTCACATTGCAGGACCCAGACAAATGCAGAACAATGTCCTCTCATACACACACACACACACATACACACACACACACAGGCACACACACACACACACACAGGCACACACTCTCTAAAAGTAACATCAACTAAAACAAATAACAGAAGGCACCACTCACGTCCCATTTGCTCCCTACTTCCAAATAGGCACAGACTGGGTGGAAGGCTCCAGTGCCACAGGTATATAGGTGGGTTCTGTTGAAGGGATGCAGCACCTTGATGAAGTTGGCACATTCTGCCTGTAACAGAAAGAGAAGACAGACTTTAGGATGAGGTACCGTGCATTTCAATCCCAATGCAGAGAACCGTAAGAACATCAGAACAATCAGGAGACTTACTAGTTCCTTGAACCTTCTCCACAATTCAATAAGATCACAGCTGCCTTACTCCACTGGATCGCTAAGTGGCCAAAACCCTATCAATCGTAGCCCAGAGCAACACATTGCAGAAGGAGACCACTCAGCCATCATTTCTGTGCTAAGCTTTTGGAAGGAGGTACACACTTCCTCCTACTGGCCTGCTATTTCCTTCATCAAGTCTACACCCTCTGACTTTCAAAAGCGTCCATCATGTTTGCTTCCACCATCCTTCAAGCAGCACATCACCGATCACAGAAGCTCTCTGAGAAACCAAACTTCATCTTGTCTCCCGCCTCTGTCTTTTTTTTTGTCAATTATCTCCAATCTGTATCCTCTAATTACTCAGCCTGCAGTCAGTGGGAACAGGCTTCCAAAAATAAACAGTGACAGATATCCATTTGGTTTCTGGAATATTTAATCAAGATAAGATTGTCCCATATTTATTGGAATCGCACAAGTCAAACAGATGAACGAGAGTTTAGTTAGAAGCAGGCTGTGATTGAGAGTACCTCATGTGGATCAGGGGTTTGAACTGCACTGAATATGCTTCTCCTCAGAACATGTGTGTCAACCGAGAGAGCTGTATGTCAACATTATTGAAATCTAAAACCCATTTTTGGCCTGATCTTTGGCACGTTACGGAAGAGAAAGGATGGCAAAATTTTCTGTTCATGTGCTCACAATGTTGACTTACTCCCTGCTTTGATGGAGATAGGGTTACGTCTAGAGGGCATGAGCCAAGAGTAAACTGGAAGACAGTTAGTGATCAGATAGTTTGCCCGATTGACAGCTCATCAGCCAGCATAAACATCCAATTCCTAACACCCACTGGTGTGCCACATTAGCCAAGTCTCCCTCAGCGGCACCTTGTAAAATCTGCAACCTTTCACTGTAGAAAGGACAAGGGCAGCAGGTACACTTCCTGCAAATTTTCAAAGAAAGGTCAAAACTGGGGATGTCTGCTGAAGACTTTGCTAATGTTTGGCACCATCTGCAAATCCTCAGTCCACGTCCAAATTCAGCAAAAGTTGGACATGTTTGGGCTGACAAATGGCAAGTGCCCCCCAACTGGAAGGCAAAGGCCATCTCTAACGAGAGAGAGACTTTAACCATCACCCTTTGACACTTAATGCAATACCATCACCAAATCCCAACTATCAACATCCCAGGGGTTACCGCTGACCAGAAACTGAATCAGATTGGCCACCTAAGTGCTGTGCCTACAACAGCAGGTCAGAGCTAGGAATCCTGCAGAGAATATCTTACTCCTGACTCCCCAGCATCTATAAGACACAAGCGAAGAGTGTGATAGAATACTCCCCAGTTGCCTAAATGGATGCAGCTCCAAAATACTCAAAGTTTGACACCATCCAAGACAAAGCAGCCCGCTTGATTGGCACCACATCCAGAAAGACTGACTCCGTCCACCACTGATGCTCAGTAGCAGCTTCAGATACCCCAATTTTGTATTTGAATAGGAGACCTTAAGGAATAGAAGCAGGCCATTCAGCCCATTGAATCTGCTGGTCATTCAATGGGATTACAGATGATCTGTTGATTCCCCTGAGTTCCACACCTTGAGAAATGACCAGTTAACTTACAATGGACAACAAGGCCATGCAGACCTTGACAATTCTGTAAGAAAGGGTTAATAACTATAACTGTGTTTTTTCTCCCGTTTCTCTCATAGGAAAGAAAATGATTGGAATCTTGGAACCCGATCCCCAAAACACAGATAAATACAGGAATTCCATGCAATAAAAATGGACTTCGACTTTAGTCAGCTCGAAGACCCATTGATAATTGTCATGATACGGTTTGAAAGTGTTACAGTAAGCAGCACGTTAACATGACTGTAAATGCAAGTTCACTCTCAGGATTAAAATTCCATTAAAACTGACCACGTTGCCAATTGCAATGTATGTCGGAATCATATTCTCGGGAATTTTGCACTCATCAAACATGTTAGCATCAGGGATTAGGAAAGAAATAAAGAGGGAATTGATTTTTCTTTTCTCGTCTCAGGACGTTATTGTTTAAATATTTATATTTGTCAATAAAGTGTCTGAATTCTTCACTGCAGGTCACTCCGATGCCCTGATGGTTTTTGCCAGGATAGTGGTGGTGGGTACATGTATGACAAACTGGGTATGCACTCACCTGTACTTAAGTCTTTCAGTCTCTCTCCCTTGCCACCTTCTTCCACCCATCTTGGGGCCTTAACATTAAGTCGCTAAACTCTGTTTCCCTTCTAGACTTGAGCATTCCCAGCTTTTCCTGTTCAGGTTTCAGCCTTCCCAGTGTTTTGAATTCTTCTACCATTTCATGAGACTTGGCAAACTGGCATCCATACCCAGGACACTCATTTAATTTTATGCCTTGATACTATCAGGTTTTATCAGGCTTTTTGAAACTTGATTGAGACTTAGGATATGCTGAAAGGGAGTGGTGAAGATGAGGTAGGAGGAAACCAGGCTCATGTAGACCATAACAAGGTGACACGCATCAATTTTTTTTAGTTATTCCTTTTTGAGTTCTGGACCAGGATTTATTGCCCAACTCGCGTTGCCCTTGAGAAGGTGGTGCTCAGCTGCCTTCTTGAACTGTTGCAGTCCATCAGGGGTAGGTACACCTCGTGCTCATTAGGAGGTAGTTCCAAGGATTTGACACAGCAACAGTGAAGGGATGCAATATATTTCCAAGTCAGGATGGCGAGTGGCTCGGACAGAAACTTGCAGCTGGTGGTCTTTTCTTGCACCTACTGCTCTTGTCCTTATAGATGGTAGAGGTCACAGGATTGGAAGACACTGTAAAAAGAGCCTTGGTGAGTTTCCCTGGTGCATCGTGTGGATAGTAGACACTGTTGCCACTGGGTATTGATGGTGGAGAAAGTGAATGTGGAAAATGATAGTTGTGGTGAAAATTACGTAGGCTACTTTGTCCTTAATGGTGTTGAGCTTCTTGAGTGTTGTTAGAGCTGCACCCATCCAGGCAAACGGGGTGTATTACATCACTCTTCGGATTTTTGCCCATATGGTCTTTGCTGTATATTCTTGTAATTTTATTTGAGTCTTGAATGCTGGCTTTATACCCAGTTAACCCTTACACTTTGTAGACATCAATGGACAGTTTGATCCCATCACAATCACAGCTGGCAGGTTAGGTTATAGCTGCTTCCTACTGGAAGAGCTTTAGGTAAAATGGCCTCTCCAGCAAAACAGCCAGATGCCTATGAAAAATTCACACCTGAAGCTCTGTGCTGAGAAACACAAAGCCCAAATCAGTGTCAGAAAATTAATGCAAAACCAAAAGGATAATTTACAACAGTGCAAATCCTTTCGAAAGATGTATCCCCTATGTGATCAAAAAAGGAGCCCATATTAGAAGCGCATGAAGTAAAGCTATTTCCTCTTGAATGGAAACCTTTGACACTTTGCATTTAAATTGTGAGGGTGTTTTAACGAAAAACAGGATGCTTGGCATATTTTTGGAAGTGGTACAAAGACCAATTGCTCTTGGAGGTCTTTGTAGAAGCAGGAGTTCCTTCAGGCAGGTCCACCCAACAAGAACTAACGCTTGACTTCACCTCATTCTCGCTTGTGTTCCTTGGAATGTGAGCGTGCCCCTATCCCTCTTCTTCACATGCCTGCAACTGTGGTTTGTTTTTAATCTCAAATTGAAAATGACGAACATGCCAATTGGGAGAGCAGTCAGTACATGGTACTTGCTGGCCCAAAGAGTTGAGGGAACGTGTACGGATATGTTTAAGGGGAGGCTCGGCAAACACATGAGGGAGAAGGGAATAGAAGGGAGAAGTGAGGAGGGAGGCTAAGATTTTTAATGTATTCTTTTGCAGGATGTGGATGTCATGAGCGAAACTAACATTTGTCAACCCTCCCTAATCGCCCTTGAACAGTGTGGCTTGATTGACCATTTCAGAGCGCTGTTAGAGTCAACCACATTGCAGTGGGTCTGAGTGACAAAAGCCGAAGTGGCGAGGGTATGGGCTACAAATGACATACAGAGGTGTAGCTGAGGTTAAACACTGTTCAGTCAGGACAGTGGCTTTCAAAAGGGACCTGTCATTACCTCACAAACAAAATCAGAAACTACTGGAAATATTGAGCAGACAGCAAGGTGCAGGGCTGGATGAACACAGCAGGCCAAGCAGCATCATAGGAGCAGAGAGGCTGACGTTTCGGGCCTAGACCCTTCATCAGAAAAGGGGGAGGGGAAGGGGGTTTTGAAATAAATAGGGAGAGAGTGGGAGGCGGATAGAAGAGGGATAGAGGAGAGGATAGGTGGAGAGGAAACAAACAGGTCGAAGAGGCGGGGATGG